GAACGTAATTTCACCAAGTACAACGTGTTCCTGGATCAACATCCTTGTTGATTCTGGATCAACATTCTAATTAACCAATCAGAATTGAGGGATTAGTTTTCAAGAAATGTCAGTTTTAGGCTTACAGTCAGGGTTAGATGCTTCTACACCCTTCTTATTCACCTATCATTTTCCTCTGATTTTAGGAATAAATTATGGGTAGGGTTAGGTTTAGGGGTAGGGATTGGGTTAGGTCTATATTTTTGGACAGTAATGTTGATCCAGGATCAACAAAAGATGTTGATCCAGGATCAACAAAAGATGTTGATCCAGGAACATGTCTTACTTGGCAAAATCACGGTGACCGGGTTCCGACACCTGACACAGGGGCGTGAGCATCGCCAGATACACGGGGAAGCTGCAAGCCCGACTTTATTGGCGGTTTCACGGCCGAGTGTGAGACCGCTATCGCTGGAGGAGGAGAAAAAAGCTCTTTTTGTGAGGGTGTCACAGACTTTATTGCATTTTGAACATGCACAACATAGACATTCTCGTAGTCGCCTGCAACCGCCAAGGGGACTTTGCGAGAACATCTCGAACGCTTCGCGGCGGGCCCGTCGTTCGGCACTCCCCTCCTCTGTACCCTCCCATCAGGAACAAGGCTTCTGCTTCGACGGAGGCGCTCCCCCGGGATGGCCGCCCTTCTTGAAGCTGTGACGCCCCTTTGGTGTCCTCTGCCACAGAGTTTTGGCGTGAACAGAAGGCTCTGGGTCCGGCGCCGATGAAGCGGAAGCAGAGGGTGGCCGCTTTGACGGCCGGTTGGAAGCAGATGAGGATCTATTACGTGCTGGGGGCTGCGTTGCAGCTCTGCGAGGCAGGAAGTGACTCATCGCCTTGGAGCGTTTCTGTGCCTCTGAGAAGTGCTCCGTGATAGCCTCCACTGCGTCTCCAAAGAGGCCGGAGGGAGATACAGGAGCATTGAGCAGCGTCCTTAAGCTCAGTTAGTGTCAGCCACAGATGCCGGTGGAGCACCACCATGTAGCCCATGCTCCGTCCGATCGCCTGGGTTTGTGGCTCTAAGTGCAAAATCCGTTGCCGCACTTAGATCCTTAAACGCCTCGGGATCCAGCACCACCCTCGTCCAGAGATTTCAGCAGCTGTGCCTGAAAAACTTGGAGCACTGCCATCGTGTGAAGCACCGAGATCGCTTCTCCTGAGACGGCGTACGCTTTGTCCGCGACGTGTGCGGTCAGACGGCAGGGCCTTGATGGCAGCGTAGCACACGCCTTCAGGGAGGCAGAGGAGGGGCAGAGGTGCACGATTTTCAAATAGTTGTATCTCAGCCAAATATTGTCCTATCCTAACAAACCATACATCAATGGAAAGCTTATTTATTCAGCTTTTCAAAAAATTTACCCTTATGACTGGTTTTGTGCTCCAGGGTCACATACAGTATATGCACATGCAAAAAACAGCTATTTTAAATAGTAATAATATTTCACAATATATAACAGCGTTACTGTGTTTTCTATCAAATAAATGCAGCCTTGGTTGCATTTTCTCCTTCTTGTTAAAGTCGATAAGTCTGTTTATTATTATTATTATTGTTATTATATATAATCATTTTCCGCCTGTTAATACTAAAAAAACTGAAATTGCTATAAATTCTAAAAGTCAAATGCGTTGCGTGCAGGTCTCTGACGCAGCTGCGCACGCTGGAGTTCATCGAGGTGGAGTTTGTGGAGGACGAGGAGGAGCGGAGACCGGACGCAGCGCAGAGCAGTGAAGACGATCCGGTGCCGGAGCTCAGACGCTCGTTACGCTCGCTGCTGCCGGAATGCAGCGTGTGTTTCAGCAGCTGCAGACTCACCGTCAACAGAGACTGAGGCCCCATTCACGCGGGGCGTCGGCGTCAACGCTTGATCGTTTCTGAAGCTTGGTGCTGACCGAGGTTATTACAGTTTTGAATTTTTTAATTCGTTTTATTTTAATATCGCTTTCAAATTTGCTATAAAATTCAGTTTAGTTTTTATTAGTTTCATTCATATTTTTGTTAGTTTTAGTTTAGTTTTTTTTTTTAATTAAATTAATCTACACAAGTTGCGCTTAAAGTCATATCCAATGATGTGTGTTGAGATATTTAGTATGAAAATAAATGTAGCCTAATTTGGTTATGTCTTTTCTTATTTAACCATAATCATGATATTGTAACTGTGGTGTCTTGCTCACTTTTCCGTGAACAAAATCAAAACTGGGACTAATGCAATTCAATAATAACGGCAGTCGCATTTAACAGTAAAGGCTTATATTTGAATGTTCTTTTCATTTATGAAGAATTATAAGCGTGTGTATGATGTGATTTAGCCAGTTTTAGCTAGTACTGCTGGTGCACGTTTACCAGACAGGACCCGTGCAGGCTTTAAACTGCTTTGCGTCTCTCCGTCAGATAACCCCATGTGCGTGATGTGCCATTACAGGTAGCTATTTCCCTAAGCCTCCACAAAGCTGTATATTTTTCCGCCAAGGGGTGAGAACGTAATGATTACGAAAACGATTATTTATTTTTGATAATTATTTTATTTCAGTTAGTTTTTCAATAACTGTTATTAGTTTAGTTTAGTTTTAGTTTTTCAATTATTTTGACGTTTTTATTTTATTTTAGTTTACGAAATTGTTTTTTCATCAATAGTTTTAGTCTTAGTTTTAGTTTTTGTTTACGAAAATAATCTTGGCGCTGACGCGACCGTCATAGTGACAACAGCCAATCACATTAGTTTTCTGGTGTTGCATGAACGCGATTGGCTAGCGTCTGCGCTAGGGTATTTGCATAATGCGATCTGATTGGCTAATGCCTGCGTTGGCGCTTGAAAAGTTTTCAACTTCTGCTGCGAGCAACGGACTCAACGCGATGCGACGGGACGTTGGCGTCAACGCCTCTAATTTACTTTGAATGGTTTTATTACTGCCGAAATAAAATTGTAGGGCCGTCGCGTCGGGTCCGTTGCTCGCGGCAGAAGTTGAAAACTTTTCAAGCGCCAACGCAGGCATCAGCCAATCAGATCGCCTTATGCAAATACCCTGGTGCAGAAGCTAGCCAATCGCGATCATGCAACACCAGAAAACTAATGTGATTGGCTGTTGTCACTATGACGGTCGCGTCAGCGCCAAGCTTCAGAAACGCCCTCCGTCAAGCGTCGGCGTCGCGTGTGAATGTACCGTGACGCTTCACACCGGCTCCTGAGGACGTGTTTGATAGGAACAGACGGAGAACAAACTCCTGTGCACTGAGACTGCATCTGAGGAGAGGGAACACTTTATTCTGACGATTACTGGTTTTGTTGCACTGCCTTTTTGACTATTTAAATTACATGCATTACAATAATGAAATCTAATGAGTTGAACTTCTGTATGCATTATTGTTATTTTGTAATGTAAATATAAAATAAAACATTGTTTTAATAGTGGAAAACTATTGACTTCATGCAAATTGCAAAACAATTTCTTTCTTTTTGATTTTGATGACATTTTTTAAAATGTACAAATATTTCTGTCGATTAATATGAGCTTATGAAACTATACATAATATGGGAACTGGGAAAATACTGTTTAAAACTGTTTTAGATGGTGTGGGTGTGTGTGTGTGTGAGAGTGTATGAGAGTGAGTGTGTGTGTGTGTGTGTGTGTGCGTGTGTGTGAAAGTGAGTGAGTGAGTGAGTGTGTGTGAGAGAGTGAGTGTGTGTGTGATAAGAGTGAGTGAGTGTGTGTGAGAGAGTGAGTGTGTGTGTGATAAGAGTGAGTGAGTGTGTGTGAGAGAGTGAGTGTGTGTGTGATAAGAGTGAGTGAGTGTGTGTGAGAGAGTGAGTGTGTGTGTGATAAGAGTGAGTGAGTGTGTGTGAGAGAGTGAGTGTGTGTGTGATAAGAGTGAGTGAGTGTGTGTGAGAGAGTGAGTGTGTGTGTGATAAGAGTGAGTGAGTGTGTGTGAGAGAGTGAGTGTGTGTGTGATAAGAGTGAGTGAGTGTGTGTGAGAGAGTGAGTGAGTGAGTGTGTTTGTGTGTGTGAGAGTGAGTGAGTGAGTGTGTGTGTGTGTTCTACCTACTTATTTGTAGTTTGGGACAAATTTTAGCCTGTACTAAACTTGACAACCTCCTTTTGGGGACATTCTCATTTCTAAAAACAGTATAAAAAATAAACTTAAAATAGTTTCTTTATTTTTTTTCTAAAATAGTAAAACTGCAGAAAGTTTTCTGTTAAGATGGTTATACCATTAATAGCTAGCAGTATATAAACTGTAGAGGCAGCCTCATTTATGTAGCTACGTGAACGTGTGTGCCAGTGTTGCCAATTTAGCGACTTTTCAGACCCCTTGGCGACTTTTTTTCCCCAAAAAAGCGACTAGCGACTTCTTGGACAACCCTCAGCGAGTCTCGGTCACAACACCCAATGGCACCCGGGGTCTCACAGTGTTGCTGGTACTGACCTCTCTCTGCGTCTGCTGAGAGGAGCAGCGCCTTCAGTTAGAATAGATATTATGTTGCTTCTCTAAATTTACATGCTCATAGCCGAAATCACAGCACAGGAATTGTCTGTGTCTTATGTGCGTTTCATTTCATCAGCCACAGAGAGACAAACAAATGTAAAAGGCAACAGACGCGATGACGTCATGAATATGCTAATTAGCGTATGACGTCATCTGGCGATATTTAGCGACTTTTCAAACTGGCTTTAGCTACGAAGTTGGCAACACTGCTGCGCGCCTCCGCGCCGGCAGGTGGCGACGTGCGCGCGCCTGAGGCTGATGAACATGTGAGTAAAGCTCATTTCGCTGAAGCTCAGCTTCTCCATATAGTTATTAATAACTCGCGAGAAGTCTTATTTCAGTTACTACACCGATGTAGAGACACACTGTGAGGCTGCGCGCGAACTGACCACAGATCCGTTCATTAGTGTTTACATGAGAACGACTTCCGGTGACGCAGAGAGCGCTACACGCGTTACTCCGTCATCCTTCAGCTCTGCGTCTGCTTCAGAACATTCTAAACTAACGCTCACGTCATGTTGTACTGATCAAACGGAAAGCCTTTTCTGAACGCGTTTTAACCCTCGAGCTCTCAATCGCTCTTCCGTGCACACATTTGGGCATGACGGTCTCAGGTCTGATCCCAATTTATTTATTTATTATTATTTTTTTAAAATAAGTGTCATATCACTATCTTCGATCACATAAAAACTATCAATTTATGCAGTATTTTTGGTGGTTTTTGAATTTATTTACCTCTAAAAGTACCATATTTTAATGTAAAATATGCTTATTTTATGTTATATTTAATATTTCTTTTACTAAAGTAAAAAAAAGTTAAATAATAATAATAATTCCAGTAAGCTCAGACAGGCAAAACCTAAAAATCTGGTGACATATGGGGGTATAAAAATATCAATAGCCGCTATTTGGCTGCAGTACTCAGTGGCTGCATATATAGGCTGAAATCTATAAAATATTGATGTACTTACCCTCTTTTTTTTTATCATGAATTAAAATTATAGAATTTAAAAAAACAAAAAACATTTGTGAGATTATACAAAGATGCCAAAATATGCTTAAAGACAAATCTGACCGTGCTATAAGGAAAAGACAATGTAGCAGAGAGAGAGTAATCATTTATTTCTAACAAAAAAAACATTACATTTTAACAACTCAAAAAAATAAAATGTTACCATTGGACAAATAATAATAAAAAAATGCTCTTAATTTTAGTATGTCCCATTCATTTCCTATGGGTGCCCACTTTTGATCATGAAGGACAAATTAAGGATTTTTTTTTTCAACCACTTAACTTTATTGAATCGAGTTAATTTTTGTTTTCTGTGTTCAGGTTGCAAACTTAGGAAACGTAGCCCAGTCTTGTACCGCTCAGATTAAGGAAACTATTTGTAACAAACAAACAAAATGACATTTTCTGTATTTAGTTTATTATCATTAATTGTATTATTATAATTGAAGTGGACGTGCTGAAGGACGGGAGAATGCAGTGTTTGTTGGTCATGTGTGCGCTGGATATCAGCCGTCAGTGGAGATGATGGGAGGTTTGTGAGTTATGATCCGTGTATGATGATGATGATGATGATGATGTTGTAGGTTTGCTGAGGTGAAGCTGCGATGTCTGCGTTAAAGAGTCTGGTGCCTGCGCGCTTCCTCACGCTCGTCGCTCACCTGGTCATCGTCATCACCATCTTCTGGTCGCGGGTGAGACGAGACGACATGCCTTTCACAGCTTTAACAGCCTTTAAGAGTCTGATGACTGATGTGTGTGTGTGTGTGTGTGTGTGTGTGTGTGTGTGAGAGA